TGAATATTACTATTATTTTTAATGCTTTTACACAGTTTTTGTATCCGTCCAAGAAAACCAAGCATTCACGATCGATTAACCAGTAGAAAATCTTCTTTCCTACTGCTGGTTCTGTGTGCACAAGAAGCATCAACACTCACACAATCCCACATGCTCTGCAGACCCACAGAGATGCGCCTTTTGCGCCAAAAAATGCATCAGACTGTAGTTTCTGAATCTCCTAAAATGTCCAGGACTCAGGTTTTACTTTTGCTTTCTTATAAATTATCCAAAATTAAATTCACTAAGTCATCTGTATGCAGTTTTGCATCACCTTTTCACAGCTGAGTGCACACACAAGCGCAGGAGAAACATTAAAAGATTAATCAATCAATAAACGACTCGTACAGTATACTGGCTGCAAAATATCTACTCTTTTTATTCCTGTAATTATCATTTTTAGCAATAATTTGTTTTTTTAATCCTTTCTTTCTGTTATTTAGTTCTCATTTGCTGTATATATTATTGATTTAATGATGTTAATAAATCACAAACTTTATACATATCTAAAATGCTCCGGCAATGCTCTACAATATCAGCAATGTTAGAGAGAGAGAGAGAGAGAGAGAGAGAGAGAGAGAGAGAGAGAGAGAGAGAGAGAGAGAGAGAGAGAGAGAGAGAGAGAGAGAGAGAGAGAGAGAGAGAGAGAGAGAGAGAGAGAGAGAGAGAGAGAGAGAGAGAGAGAGAGAGAGAGAGAGAGAGAGAGAGAGAGAGAGAGAGAGAGAGAGAGAGCAGCCTTTACCTGCCAGTGGGTGCACATGGCTCCTAAATAGCATTTTACCCACTGAAAAGAAAAAAGGACTATAGCAGTGTCATAATAAATGAAAAAAATAGTTTTAAATCACATTATTTTTTTGTTTGTCGCATGTAGTTGACCATTTATGTGCTGTGGGGAAAAGGTGCTTCAATCCGACTACCACTGCAAGCATTTTACAAACCTGTGGGAAGCTCCGTTTAATCAGAGCAGTAGTTGCATTAATAAATGTTAATCTGGCCTACTACATGCTGAAATATTGATTGACAATTCTGTGACTATTTATTCGGACATTACATTAAAACTGAAATAGTAAACATTAGCTAAACATGAACTAAACTCACAATGAAAACTACTAAATATTGATTAATCTCAATTTTAAATGCTTCTTCTTACAAACAATTGTAATAATAAATTATAAGTGCTATAGTATTTCAGAAGGCAAAAGGGGTCCAACCTGGTACTAGTAAGGCGTACCTAATAAAGTGGCCGGTGAGTCTATATTATACTATGACTATTATTAGTCTCACCTTTTGTACTTTATAATTTTTTGCAATTCAATATGTTTGAAACATTTGTTTTCTATACAATAGGTTAATACCCAATATTGTATTGGTTAATATACCTGTAAAATTAAACTTTTTTTGCAGCTCAGGTCAATAACTGGATTAAAACTTCACTAATGAGCACAATACAGTGATGAAGCATAATGATCATGCAGTAATTAGGGATGTAAAGTGATAGGAATCCTGAAGTGTGTAAGTGTGGCAGTCAGATGCAATAAAACAGCACAATCAGAGGTTTTATTGTAGATTTGCGCAGTTATAAATCACCTACAGCTTCTCGGTGAAGACAAAGGTGTTTTTTACCGCGCTCTGGTGTAAAATCCTTCCAGGCTCGTCCTGTCAACATTATGCAGAGCTCTGCAACCTTCAACAATTTCCCAGCATCCCATATGAGACCGCAAGCAATTAATACGATAGCATCTTCACGGCCTCATAACCGGTAAATAAAATAAGAGCAGTGTTTTCTGTTCACTTCTCTAATATTTGAGGGAAGAAGAGGAGGAGGAGAGGAAGAAGAAGAGAAGGGGAAGAAGAGGAGAAGGGAAGAAGAGAAAGGCACATGAACACCTGAGCAGGAGTTGTGCTTTTACACACTCATCTCTACAGCTACTGTCAATATACAGAGACATAATTACTAGATTAATTACACATCATCATAATCATAAGAAGAAGATGAAGGAAAAGAAAGAAAGAGGAAGAAGCTAGAAAGAAAAAAGAAAGAAAAGACGAAAGGAAGAAAGAAGAAACAGAAAGAATAAGAAATAGAAAATAAGAATAAGAAAAAAAACAAAAACAAAAGAAAGACAAAAACGAACAAAGGAGAAAGAAGATGAAAGTAGACAAATAAAACAAGAGTAAAGACAGAAAGAATAAATAAAAAATAGAAAGAATAAAAAAGAAGGAATGAAGAAAAAGAAGAGTAAAAAGAAGAAAACAAGAGGAAAGACAAGAAAAAAAATGACAAAAGGAAAGACAAGAAAAAGAAGACAGAAAGAAAGGAACAAAAAAGATTAAAGAAAAAAGAAAAAAGAATGACAAAAGGACAAAAAAAAGAAAAAGAAAAAGAAGAACAAAGGAAAAAAGACTAAAGGAAAAGCGTAGAAAAGAAAAAACAAATGAAAGAAAGAAGTAAAGTAGCAAGTAGACAGAAGAAAAAAGAAAAAGAAAAAAACATAGATAGATAGATAGGAGTCAAAAAGAAAGAAGGAATGAGAATAAATAAATAAGAAAATACAAAAGAAAAAAGGAAGACAGAAAAAAAGAAGAAAGAAGAAAAGAGACTAAAAGAAAAAGAAAAAAAGAAGTAAACAAATAGAAAGAAAAAAGAAAAAGAAATAAGACAAAAGCAAAGGAACAAAATAAAAAAATAAAGAAAAAAGACAAAAAAGGACAAGGAAGAAGTTAGAAAAAAATAAAAAGTAAAAAAGTAAAGTACAAAGAAATACGGAAAATGGAAATAAAAATAAAAATACAGAAGAATACAGAAGAAAAAGAAGAAAATGTAAGAAAAAAAGAAAAGAAGAAGAACCAGAAAAAAAGGAGAAAAAGAAAAAAGAAAACAAAAGAAAAATGACGAGACAAAGAAAGGAAGAAAACAGAAAAAAAGAAGAAAAAATAAAGAAAAGACAAAAGGACGAAAGAAGAAAGAAAAATAAAGAAGAAGAAAAAAGGAAGGAAGAAAAATAAGAAGAGGAAACACTTATGATGATGATTATTAAGCGCTGGCATTTTCTTCAGCAAAATTAATGTCTGACAGGTGATGAATTGATCAGTTTGTGTGAAGCGGCCGTCAGCGACTCAAAACAACAAGAATCAGTCAGAGATGCACACACTCCACACACACGTCTGACATGATGATGCTTTCCCTTTAATACATGATCTCACACACACACACACACACACACACACACACACACACACACACACACACACACACACACACACACACACACACACAAACACACAAACACACAAACACACACACAGGCCTGAAGCTGATCACAGGAAGGATTTGTGATTTATGAGGATGCAGAGTTTTACTCTCGCTCTCTCTCTGTAAGTATGTGCGACTCCAGCAGAGCCTACAGGAAGAGCTGCCCGTCTGATTTATGCCCACCTGGGCTTTATGAGAAGTGGCACACACACACACACTATACACACAAAATTATAAACACACACTCACTATTTAGCTGCATACATATAAACGCACTATACACACACACACACCCATACCCATGCATGTACATGTACACAAAAACATACCCTAACCAATGTATTTCACATTTGCAATAACGTAGACAGCGCCCTCTAGTGGATTTGCCATCAGAAATGTACGACAAAACGAACCTTAAATAACATTACAGATTTAAAATGTAGACAGCGCCCTCTAGTGGACTTCAAATCTGAAATGTGCAACAAAATGTACCGTAAATAACATTTAAAAATTAGCAAAAATGTAAACAGCGCCCTCTAGTGGATTTGTCATCAGAAACCTGCAACACAACATACTCCAAGTGATGTATTTCAGGCTCTCAAAATTGTAGAAGCGCCCCCTAGTGGATATGTAATCTGAATTGCACAAAAACAGACCCTTACTGACGTATTTCACATTTGCAAAAAACATAGACAGCGCCCTCTAGAGGATTTGTCATGAAAAGCATGCAAAAAAAAAAAAAAACATACCCCAGGTAACATGTTACAGATTTGTCCTCTAGATAACTTGCCATCAGAAATGTATGACAAAACTAACACTAAATAGCTTATTACAGATTCAAAATGTAGACAGCGCCCTCTAGTGGATTTCTCATCTGAAATGTGCAACAAAATGTACCCTAAGTAACATTAAAAATTTGCAAAAATGTGGACAGCGCCCTTTAGTGGATTTGTCATCAGAAACGTACAATAAACAAAGCCTTAGTATTGTTTTACAGATTTGCAAAATGTAGACAGCGCCCTCTAGTGGATTTGACATTAGAAACGTACAATAAACAAAGCCTTAGTATTGTTTTACAGATTCGCAAAATGTAGACAGCGCCCTCTAGTGGATTTGTCATCAGAAACGTACAATAAACAAAGCCTTAGTATTGTTTTACAGATTCGCAAAATGTAGACAGCGCCCTCTAGTGGATTTGACATCTGAAATGTGCAACAAAAACAACCCTTAGCAACATATTAGATTCTCAAAAACATAGACAGTGCCCTTTAGTATAATAGCCATCAGAAATCTACAACAAAATAAACCTTTAGTAGCATAACAAATTTGCAAAAATTTAGACAACAACTGTTTTTTTTACATCAAAAAACTTACAACAAATCAAACCATTAATAACAAAGTACATATTCAAAATGTTAAGAGTGCCCTCTAGTGGATTTGTCACCTGAAATGAGCAACAAAACAAACCCTTTGTAACATTCCAGAAACTCAAAAACTTAAACATCGCCCTCTAGTGGATTTGTCATCAGAAAGCTACAACTAATCAAACCTCAAGTAACGAATTACAGATCCACAAAAACTGAGACAAAACCACTTCACTGCACAGCTCTTCCAGACATTAAAAAAACGCCTCAAAATCTTCCATTGACACCCTTTATCAACCCCACAGCAGCTCATGCTGTAAAACAGAGTAACCTCCAGCTCTTACCATGGACTTGGTGAAGGGTCTCGCGAGGCTGAAGAGCAGCGTGAGGAGCCACCAGCTGCGGTGGATGGAGGTGAACATCATGTTTCCGGGATGCAGAGCGTTGCAGCAGATGCCGTGCGGGGACATGCGGCGGTGCAGCTCGCTGGAGAACAGCAGGTTGCAGAGTTTGGCTCGGTTGTAGGCCAGCAGAGACCAGTAGTTCTTCTGTGGAGGAGACAGCAGATCCAGATCCAGATTCCCACACGAGTCCAGCAGATCTGTGAACCTGCACACACAGACAAACACATTCACACTCTGACAATACTGGGTTTTTCCACAGTCGTGCCAATGAAGCAATTCTGAATCGAGTTTAGTTACTTACTGAAATGAATCGAACTGACAATTTAATGTAGTGAACTGAAGAAGTAAATTGAACTGAATGGAGTTTAAGTGTAGAGAACTGAATTGAATGAGTTGAAGTGAACTGAATTGAACTTATTTGAAGTGAACTTAGTTGAGATGAACTGAACTGAATTGCATGAACTGGAGTGAACTGAACTGAATTAAATTAAAGTGAAGAAGTGAACTGAATTGAACTGAAAATTAATTAAAGTGAAATTAATGTAATGCATTGAAGAAGTGAACTGAACTGAATTGGGTGGAGTGAACTGAGGAAAATTGAATTGAACTGAATTAAACTGAACTGAATTTAACTGAACTGAAACAAAATAAATTGAACTGAATTGACTTGAACTGAACTTAATAGAATGAACTGAATTATTATTATTATTATTGAATCAAAATTAACTGAAGTGAACTGAGCAGAGGTGAATTGAACTATTGTAACTGTGAACTGAATTGAATTCAAAATTAATTTTAGTGAACTTAATGCAGTGAATTGAAGAAGTTAATTAAACTAAATTGAGTTAACTGAACAGAACTGAATTGATTCAAACTAAACTGAAATTAACTTAAACTAAATTGAATTTGAAAGAATTAATGTGAATTTAATTTAAATTAACTTAATTGAAGTGAACTAAATTGAAGTAAACCGAGTAGAGGTGAATTGAACTGAATTGCATGAATTGAAATGAACTAGATTAAGTTTGTGAATAGAATGGAATTGAACTGAACTGATGGGAACTGAAATGAATTGAATTGAAAATGAATTGAAGTAAACTTAATGTAGTGAATTAAAGTTCATTCAAATGAGTTGAAGTTAAGTGAACTGATTAAATTGAAGTAAACTGAAGTTAATTAAATTGAACTGATAATTGATTTAGATTAGCTTAATATAGTGAATTGAAGAAGTCAATTGAACTGAATTGATATGAACTGAAGTGAACTGAAATAAACTTAATTGAACTGAATTTAATTTACCTGAACTAAATTTAATTTAATTGAAAATAACTGCATCAAACTAAATTGAATTGAGTTGAATCGAACTGATCTGAAATGAATGAATTGAAGTGACCTGCATTGAGTGAAGTGAATTGAAGAGAACTGACCTGATCTGAACTGAAGTGAACTAACAAACTTAATTGAAGTAACCTGAATGAACTGAAGTGAACTGAGTAGATGTGAAATTAACTGATTTGTATGAGTTGAAGTGAACTGAATTAAAATTAACTTAGTTAAATTGAAGTTTATTGAGTTGAAGTGAAGCGAACTGAATTGAATGAATTGAAGAACTAAATTGAAGTGAACTGAGTGGAAGTAAAAAACTGAATTGCATGAATTAAAGTGAAGTAAAACTAAAATGAACTCAACTGAAGTGAACTGATCTGAATTGAGTTTAAGTGAATAGAAGAGAACTGAACTGAACTAAACTGAATAGCAGTGAATTGAAACAAATCAAACTGAAGTGAACTGAATGAAATAGAGTTGAACTGAATAAAAGAAAACTGAACTGAACTAAAATTAACTGAAATGAATCAAACTGAACTTGATTGAGAAGAGAACCAAACAGAATGATGTTGAAGTGAATTGAAGAAAACTGAAGTGAACTGAAGTTGATCAACTATGTTAATCAACTATGACGACTTCTGCTACGGAGAAACACAAATGTGAAAAGGCTCCATAAAGTGACATCGCAATATTTTTATCCAAGGTTATCAGACCATCAGAATGGTATTTGCCTAGAGCGGATGGAGAAATGAAGTAAATGAGCTCTGGCAGGCTCCGGCTCCGGCTCCATGCAAATCAAAGCTGCGACATGATGTTCTTTAATTGGCTCTGACGAAGCTGTTAAACGCCAGATGTTTGACAAGCCCCCGAACGCAGACGCTGTGTGCTTGTGTGTGTGTGTGTGTGTGTGTGTGTGTGTGTGTGTGTGTGTGTGTGTGTGTGTGTGTGTGTGTGTGTGTGTGTGTGTGTGTTCCTTCTTCATTATGGGCTTTACATGAGCAGCGATCAGACGTGGTGTCGCTGTCCGACTGTTTGACATCAGACATCTCTGCTCCGGTAAACAACAACAACAACGACAACAATAACATCTGCAGGAGTCACGGCGGGAAAACACTGGAGACTGGAGGAGCTCCCAAAACACCACAGATCAGATCTATTCATCTTCATGCTCTTAACAGAGAAATCAATAACATTTGGGGTCAATCGTGTCAACTCTGTGAAGATTGAATACATTTTCCTGATATATTCAAAATATTGTTTATTTGATATAATACACAAGGCGAGGCAGTGGGTAGCACATTCACCTCACAGCAAGAAGGTTGCTGGTTCGAACCTCGGCTCAGTTGGTGTTTCTGTGTGGAGTTTGCATGTTCTCCCTGCCTTCGCGTGGGTTTCCTCCAGGTGCTCCGGTTTACCCCACAGTCCAAAGACATGTGGTACAGGTGAATTAGGTTGGCTAAATTGTCCATAGTGTATGAGTGTGTGTGTGAATGTGTGTGTAGATGTTTCCCAGAGATGGGTTGCGGCTGGAAGGGCATCCGCTGCGTAAAAACTTGCTGGATAAGTTGGCGGTTCATTCCGCTGTGGCGACCCCGGATTAATAAAGGGACTAAGCCGACAAGAAAATGAATGAATGAATGATTAAATACACAATTATTTATTTCGTTATTTTATTTGTTTGTTTATTAAGTTTGATTGTTTATGTATTTATTGTGGAATAATTGTGTTTTTGGTCAACCCTGTCAGGATTTAATACAAGATTATTTTCCTGATAGATACAAATTATTATTTTTTATTTAATAAACAGGTATATATTAATGTATTTATTTATAATTAGTGTAAAATGCACTACAGAAATATAATTTAATTATATTTATTTCAACTTAATATTCCTGTTTTTTTAATACAGAAATCAATAACACTTAGTGTCAATTATGCGAAACCTCTCAGGGTTGAATACAGGATCGTTTTCCTGATATATTTTAAATATTTATTTTTTTAATTTAATTTAATAAAGAAATATTTATTTTATTTGTTAGTTTTATTTATTCATTTCTTAATTTATTATTATGTAAAACAATCTAATTAAACTTTAATTGAATTTCAATTTAATTAAATTTATTTCACTTTAATTAAATTGTCCTGCTTTTACACAGAAATTAATATCAGTGTGTGTCAATTATGTCAACCCTGTCAGGAATGAATACAGGAAAATTTTCCTGATATATACAAATTACTATTTTCTTTATCTAAATTATTAAACAAATATATATGTATAAATAAATATCTAATAAATATATTTTTATTTATTTACTATTTGTTTTATGAAAAGCACTTTACAAGTAGACTTTAATTTAATTGAATTTCAATTTATTTCAATTTAATTTTACATAGTAATCTATAGCATTGGGCGTTAATTATGTCAACCCTGTCAGGTTTGGATACAGCATTGTTTTCCTGATATATTTAAAATATATATTTTTTAATTTAATTTAATAAAGAAATATTTATTTATTTAACTTATTTTTTAGTTTAGTTTATTTACTATTAAAAAAGCACTGTACAAAAACTAGAATTGAATTAAATTCCTAATTAAAATTATTTCAATTTAATTTTCAAGTTTTTTTAAATCACCAAATGTCACACATTTTATTTTATTTTGATAGCAATGCACCACGCAATTAATTTTATTTTTATTAGCGTAACACCACAACACGATACAATTTATTTTTTATTTAATTTAATTTAACTTATTTTTAATTAAATTAAATTAAATTAAATTAAATTAAATTAAATTAAATTAAATTAAATTAAATTAAATTAAATTAAATTAAATTAAATTAAAATTAAATTAAATTAAATTAAATTAAATTAAAAATTAATTTGAATTTAATTTGAATTTTATTTTATTTAATTTTATTTTATTTAATTTATAAACAGAATAGGCGACAAAGGGCAGCCTTGGGCTGTAGCGGGTCTGGTTTGGCGATTTCATCTCTGTTATTCGCAGATGATGTTGTTCTGTTGGTTTCATCGAACATGAACCTTCAACGTGCACTGGAGCGGATTGCTGAGAATCAGCTCCTGCAAGTCCAAGGCCATGGTGCTCCATGGAAAAAAGGTGGTTTGCCATCTCCAGGTCGGAGCAAAGTCCTTACACCAAGTGGAGTTCAAGTATCCTGGGGTTTAGTTCGAGTGTAAGGGAAGGATGAAGAGTGAGATTGACAGGCGGATCGGTGCAGTGGCAGCAGTAGTGCTGTCGATGTATTGTAGTGAAGAAGCTGAAAGGCAAAGCTCTCAATTTACTGGTCAATCTACGTTCCTGCTCTCACCTATAGTCATGAGCTTTGGGTCATGGCCGCAAGGACAAGATCTCTGATACAAGTGGCCGAAATGAGTTTCCTTCGCAGGGTGGTAGGGCACACCTTTATGGATAGGCTGAGGAGCTCTGCACCGGGAGGATCTTGGAGTAGAGCCTCTGCTCCTCCACATCCAGAGAAGTCAGCTGAGGTGGCTCGAGCTTCTGTTTTGGATTGCTCCTAGACGCCTACCTAGGGAGGTGTTCCAGGCATGTCCCACCAGGAAGAGGCCTCGGGAAAAACCCAAGACACGCTGGAGGTACTATGTCTCTCGGCTGGCCAGGGAAACACTGGAGGAAGTGTCTGGGGAGAGGGAAGTCTGGGGTTCTCTCCTAAGACTGTCGCTGCAACCAGGCCCCGGAAAAAGCACATGAAAATCATTTAAATTAAATTAAATTAAATTAAATTAAATTAAATTAAAATAAAATAAAATAAAATAAAATAAAATAAAATAAAATAAAATAAAATTTAATTTAATTTAAATTAAGTTAAAAATAAAATAAAATAAAATAAAATAAAAAGTTAAATTATTAAATTGAATTAATAATTTAAACTAAAATAAACTTCAAGAGCTCTGCGTAATTATTTAAGACACATTTTATGCTCCACTAAAAAAATAAGATATATCACATTTGCAATGACACAACCAACATACAACAATATTTTCTAGCATTTATCCGAACTCTCCCAGTAATAGTTTAGCAGCTCCAGTCTCCCAGTCTGTCATCATCTCAGCCCAGGATAATCCATAGGCGCGTCCCTGCAGAGGCGTCAGACACACAAATAGTCTATTTCCAGCGCAGAGGAATGAAAAGGTCAGGTCAGCCTGGTATTTAATAACTGCGGCTGCGGCTTGAAAGAGACTGAAGCATAAAGGCGATGATCGGTGTGTTTTTCAGAGGTGAGTTTGCACTATCACTGTCCTCTTGTCGGAGGAAAATGTCAGTAAAGCCGCGCTGCAGAAACAGATAAACACACATTTAAGCTTTAACACCGTCCCAAATATAATCTCCTGCAGGTCAGAGGTCAGACCAGGAGCGCAAAAAGGCCACGCATTAAAGCCAGTGGAACTGATAGAGATGAGGAGGATGGAGGAACTGTGGATAATAAAAACACACTGAGAGACTCGATGGAGGAGTTCCTGCAGTCACATGCAGTCAGTGATTTTACTGTTGGTAAATCGGTTTTTCATGCGGGGCTTGTTAATCTAATGGAGCTCATCGAAAATCTGCTTTATTTAATAATCATGCTTTCTTAACTTCAAGAGTCGCCAATCTGTACTCCACAAATACTGTATTTTACAAGGTTATTGTAAACGTTTCGAGAATAAAACATTTTATGAAAATAAAGTCGTTGTCATACAAGAATAAAGTCGTAATATTTCAATAATATGTGAATAAAGTCATAATATTACAATTACATGTGAATAAAGTCATAATATTACAATTACATGTGAATAAAGTCATAATATTACAATTACATGTGAATAAAGTCATAATGTTATGATTATAAAGTCATAAAATTATGTGAATGAAGTTGTAGCGAAAGAATAAAGTCGTAATATTACAATAATATGTGAATAAAGTCATAATATTATGATTATAAAATCATTAAATTATGTGAATGAAGTTGTAGCAATAGAATAAAGTCGTAATATAACAAAAATAAAATCTTAGTAATACAAGATTAAAGTCGTAATATTACAATAATAATGTTGCAATAATACATAGTCATGCTATTGAAAAAAGGTCTTAGTGATACGAGAATAAAGTTAAAATATTACGAGAACAAAGTTGTAGTGATATGAGAATCGTAATATTATGATAATAAAGTCAGACTATTATGTTAATAAAGTTGTAGTGATACGAGAATAAAGTCGTATTTTTTACGAATACAGACTACATTTTAGCAGAATAAAGACGTGTACTATAATAAAGTCGTACTGATTTAAGAATTAAGTCGTAAAATTACATGTATTAAGTCGTAGTGATATATAAGAATAAAGTCGCAATAACACATCAATAAAGTCATAATATTACAAAAAATAAGGTCTTAGTGATATGGGAATAAAGTTATAATATTACGAAAACAAAGCTGAAGTGACATGAGAATAAAGTCCTAATATTCATTCATTCTTTTTCTTTTCAGCTTAGTCCTTTTATTTTTATTTATTCGCCACAGCGGAATGAACTACCAACTTATCCAGCACATGTTTTACGCAGAGGATGCCCTTCCAGCTGCAACACATCTCTGGAAAATAAAGGTTGTAATATTATGTCACAATTTTATGAGAATAAAGTAGTAGTGCTACAAGAATTTAGTCATAATATTACGAGAACAAAGTCGTTATACAAGAGTAAAGTCGTAATGTTACAAAAATAAAGTTGCAATAATAGATGAATAAAGTCATCCTATTAAAAAAATAAGATCTTAGAGATACGAGAACAAAGACATAATATTACAAGAACAAAGTCGTAGTGATATGAGGATGAAGTCGTAATATTATGATAATAAGGTAGTAATATTATAAGAATATAGTTGTAGTGATATGAGAACAAAGTTGTAATATTACATGTATAAAGTTGTACAATTATAAAAATAAAGTCTTATTAATATGAGATTAAAGTCATAATATTACGAGAACAAAGCCGTTGTGATACAAGAGTAAAGTCATAATGTGACAATAAAGTCGTATTATTACAGTAATAAAGTCGTAATATTACATGAAAAAAGTCGTAAAATTACGTGAAAAAAAGTCGTAATATTACAGTAATAAAGTTGTAATATTTAATTGAAAAAAATCATAATATAACAAAAATAAAGTCTTATTAATATGAGATTAAAGTCATAATATTACGAGAACAAAGTCGCAATATTGTGTGAATAAAGTCAAAATATTACAAAAATAAGTTCTTAGTGATACGAGATTAAAGTAATAATATTACGAGAACAAAGCTGTTGTGATACAAGAGCTAAGTCGTAATGTGACAATAATAAAGTCGTAATATTACATGAAAAAAGTTGTAATTTTACAGCAATAAAGTTGTAATATTACATGAAAAAAGTCTTAATACAGTAATAGTCATAATATTACATGAAAAAAAGTTGTAATATTACAGTAATAAAGTCATAATATTACATGAAAAAAAGACTACCCAACCATTCTGGAGGACCATGTGACCCAATGGATCAAACATCGTCTCAAGAGGGCGGTGGTGTGTTTCAGGACGATAATGCAGCAATACAAACAGAAGGACTGGAGACAGTAGATAGAGATAGATAGAGTGGTCTGATAAAGATAAAAGTGAAGTTAAACATCTCCTATGGCCTGCACAGTACCCAGATCTAAACATTATTGAGCATTTTTGGCTGTTTTGGAGGAGCGAGTCAGGAAAGTTTTGCCTCCAGCAGCATCAGTAGTGTCCTGAACACTATTCTGAAGAAGAACGGCTCAAAATCCTTCTGGCCGCTGTGCAGGACTTGAACCTGCCACTTGATGGTGTATTGAGGAGCTACACCAATGAATTCCTGTGCTCTAAAACCAGGTGCTTCAGTTTCATTGTCCAACCCCTGTATTTTTTGCAGTGTCCTCAATATCAATCCTGTGCATGTTCATCATTAAAATACAGTGTATAGAATTACTGAATATCTGCATACGTCTGCAGGAATGATGTGAAATGCTGACCTGTGGGACTCGGAGGAAACCACCACGACCCGTGCCGGAGCCGAGAGCCGCAGGACGTCCTGCAGGAGCTGCACCAGGAGGAAGTGGCCCAGGTGGCAGATCTGAAAGGTGGATTCGAACCCGTCCTCCGTCAGACGCCAGGGCTGTGAGCAGACGGCAGCGTTACACACCAGCACATGCAGAGGCCTGAAAACAGAAGGAAAACACTCTCATTCTGAAGTACAACATAGACAAACTATAAAAGACTACAATTAACAAATACTATAAAGATTTTAGCCAGTTTGGTTTTGCTGTACTGAATATGGAACAAAAATGTCATCTGAATCAGATTAAGACGCGCACATGATGAAGTCTAGTTTATAATATCAACTGCTTTATCTGAAACATTAATTCCTAGTTGTTCTATCCATTCCATTTTAATATTCTCTAGTGTTACGTAACGGAATGTCATAATCAAGTTGTACATTTTGCAAGGCCTTTGTGGTGTACAAGGGTCTTTAAAATTAAGTCCAGTCCAGATTCAGCAGGCATTTGAGGGAATACAGAGCACTGGGTCTGAATAAAGTGATGAACCTGGAGGTATTGAAAAAAGTCAGATTTTTAAAGATTACATTTTTTACTCATGTCATTGAAATTGGCAAAAATATTATCTCTACATGCAAGTATGCCCAGGTCCTGCCCTCTCTTAAAAAGTAGTGTCAATTTACAAAAAAAGTTTTATTGAATTAAAAAGCACATGTATACAGCTGTATTTTGCTTGCTTTGACACATTTAACATTTTTGGTGTGGTCAGAGATAAAATTGGTAAATCCTTAACTTTGATCCCTGATGAGTCGTGTGAAATAAAAACTAATTGCAATGCGACAACCCATTTGCTCATGCTCATTGAGCAAGCTCATACACAACACACACACAAGGTGAAATGAATGAGGAGGCATGTGGACATAACACAAAATCTAAATCAAGTCATTTTAGGATGCAAAAGTCAAATGTATGCATATAAAACATGTTTTCCCAACAACAAAAGTTTGGCTAGTGAAAATAGCAAGTGGCTAGTAATGTTGGAAATCTACTAGCCACAGTGGCTGGTGATCCAAAAAGTTAATGTAAAGCCCTGTATACAGATATTTAGGTTTGGTTTAGCATTGAAGGACGATGCAAAATCAACTTTTACGCTTAAATGAACAGGATTTGCTAAGAAACTGGGATGAAAAGATCTGTTCCAACCCTCTATGATCAGCTGCAGCTAAAGAATGAGTTTGACCATTTTAAAACGAGAAAAAACAGTATTAACAATAAAAAATAAATAAAAAGATGTTTAAATTCATAACCAAATCAGTTATAAACGCCAAGGTATACGTGTTTTAATTGATGTTATTCTATTATTTTTGTTAAACCCATGCAAACTGTATACGGTTTAATCTTGGTCAGGACACTCTGGTAAAATATTTTTAATCTTATTGTGCTTTTTTCCATGGCAAAAAAAAGGCATTAATAATAATAATAATAATAATAATAATAAAAATAAATATAATAATAATAATAATAATAATAAATATAATAATAATAA